GGGAGGGGGAGAGTAGAAGTTCATTGGATTAGACAAAGGGAAATGACAGAAGGGAGGGGGATGGGAATAGGAAAGATAGTAGAATGAATCAGACAGGGAGGGGAAGAGAGGAGGTAAGGGGGTGAAAAAGATGGTGGAATGAGATATGGACATCATTACCCTAAAGTACATACATAAAGACACAAATGGTGTGACTATACTTTGTATATAACCAGGAAAAAAAAAAAAAACATAGGCTACTGGTCAGAATGTAGCTGGGGGTGGGGAGTGGGGGGACGGGACGGTGGAATGATCCACACTGGGAGTATTCCTCTAAATTGGGGTGATCTGTTAACCTAAGGACCTGACCCAGGAGGTCTTGGGAGAAGGCTCAGATGCTAGGCTCTCCCAGGTCAGCAGCACAGTTTCTCCAGTGAAACAAAGAACATCCTTAGACATTCAGGCTTCCAGAGCTGATCACTCAGCGCCCCCTGGTGGATCCAGGCTTCAAGTCCTTTCCCCAGCTCTGGGATGAACCTTGGAGCTGAATTAAATGAACAGAAGCTCAGGTTTTGCCTGCCTTTCTACCAACTGGTCACATCCCTCAGACCCAACCTTGTATCTCTGATGCTGCAACAGAGAACTGAGTGGAAAAAAGACTATAGGGCTCCAATATGGAAGCCAGTAGACCTAGGAGGGAGATGGCAGGGCTTAAATCAGCTTGGTGGCATCAGAGGCAGGGAGGATTAAGTAGATCTCTAGAATATTTTGAACACAGGATCTGTGATAAATAATGAAAGAGAAGCATCAAGGATGCTTCTGAGGCATTGGGCTTGATGATCCAGGAAGATGGAGTTCCCATTCTGAAGATAGAGAGCCTGTTTTATTCAGCTTTTTTCACTGCTGTGACTAAAAGACCAAACCAAAACAACTACAGAAGAGAAAAAGTTTATTTGGGGGCTTACAGTTTTGGAGGTCTCAGTTGGTAGACAGACAGCTCCATTCCTTGGGGCTTGAAGTAAGGCAAACATCATAGCAGAAGAATGTAGCAGAGGGAGGCAGCTCACATGGTGATCAAGCAGCAGAGAGAAAGACTCCACTTGCCGGATATAAAATATATACCCCCAAAGCCATTGGTCCCCAAAGCCACTGGTCCCAAAGCCCACCTTTTCCAGCCACATTCTACCCCTTTCAGTTACCACTCAGTTAATTCCTATCAGGGGATTGGTTTAAGACTCTCACAACCCAATCATTTCTCCTCCAAACATTCTTGCATTGTCTCACACATGAGCTTTTGGGGGGACACCTCACATCCAAACCATTACACCTGCTAAGGAGCCGATTTGTAATCAGGAGTCCTGTTTTGAAAGTGAAATCTAACTGGGACTCTTAATTTGTGGCCTTTCTCAACCTTAATTTGCTAATAGAAGTGTTCTTTTTCCATTTTTCGAGAATGGTACTCCAGTAAAGACAGCTTAGGAAAAGTGTCTACAGGAGACCAAAGAAATGTGTATGTGGTATTATTTAAAAGGTATCCAAAGCCAGATATCCAGCTGCTTGGGAGGCTAAGGCCAAGCTACTTGGGAAGGATCACTTGAGCCCATGAGTTTGAGGTTACCCTGAGTAACACACGGAGAGCAGTCTAAAAAAATTAAAAATATGTATTATATATTCAAATAAAATCATGAAATTATTTTAAACCTTCCATATTCCTAATGCTCTAACACAAAAAAAATTTTTTTGATTCATATTCCAGATATAACAACACATTCTGCAATGTTTATAGCATTGAAAGAAGCCTGTTGTACACAGATCTGTAGTTTTTATTTTAATTAAAAGCATATATGTTTTCGTGCGTGTTTTCATAATCGTTGTAATGCTAATTGTAATTATTTTCTCTCTGGCCAGGGAATAATCTAGAAGGAAGGCTTGGGGATTGCTTACGGACTGTAGAGGGGAGGGGTCATGCCTAAGGCTTAGAGACCCCCTCCAACGATAAGAAACATAGGGCTCAGTAGAGAAAGTCTGGGATTCCCAGCATATTGCAAATTAAAAGAGCAACTCCGGGACCTGCTTCCGGAACGCACAAGTTGCGGTACTCGCGAAAACGGACGTGCGGGCATCGGAGGATATAAGGTGTTACGCCAGACGCGGCGACTCCCGAAGCGGCCGGACCGGAAGTAGGGGTGGCCGGTGGCGCCCCGGGAGCTGCGGCCAGAGCCAG